TATTTGCAAAAATAGTTTGCGACTGTAGAGTTAATAAAAAAAGCTCAAATGTAACTACCAGCACACTCCTGTGGCCGGGAGCCGAGGGCTAGCCTCCCTCTCCACAACCCCAGTTCTCCACGTCGGGAGCAGATACAAGAGCCCGAGCAGCATGTTAGACAGACAGGCTGCCCTGCACCACTCACTCAGAATGCACCAAACATGCTGGTTAATAAAATTCTAGTCTCTAGTCATCTATGTACATGCTGTCAGATATGCAGTAAGCTCACACAACTAAGGCCAGTGGCTCTTCTTTGGGGAGAGGCAGGAAAAGAGACCTAAGTATAAAAATATTAAATAAGGTTTTAGCCTGGTCCATAGCCTGTCCTAGAATTCTTTTACCTGTGACACTAGATGCTAGTCTGTGCAACTGCGAGCCTAGAATACAGTACCCGATCTTGGGAAGCCCTGATATGCTTTAGCGTGTGTACTATTTCTTTAAAGTAAAGAAGGAAGGATGCAACATGAGGAGAGTGGTTTGATCTACTACAAAATAGACACAGGCACATAAAGGGGATGGTGGGTACTTACTTAGTTCTTCTGAAAGCTCTATATTCCGGGGCTAATTACAACAATAAAGAAAGTGTGCTTTAAAGCATCGCATTTTGTAAAAAGCCCAACACTGTCAGCTTGACTTTATGTTTAAGTGCTCTTAATACTGAAGTTGCTAAGACTGCCTGTTTTATTTTGTTTGTTTGTTGATTCCCCCCCCGTTTCTGTAATCCCAAATTATAATGAGCTACCCCCCTTGGTATTGTACACAGTACACCAAAATAGTTTCACAAAGTTAGTTCAGAGTCATTTTTGCCCTGGTGATTCAAAGCTCAAAGATGAATTTCCTAGCATAAAATCTTATTATTACAAAAATTTAATGAAAATATCATTTGAATTTAAGTTTAATAAAACAGTACCACTATATATATATTCTCAATAACTGCATTATATACTCAATCCTATGAGGTTTATACTTGCTTTTCATATCACACTGGTTATTAAGGACAAAAATAAATTTGATGTACATATACCATATACTGATATACAACTGACACATTGATACATATACATACATACAACCATAAATATCCACAAATACAACATTGGCAGGTGACAGGAAAGCATTTTCTTTGATGCCTGACATACTACCTATATGAGTATTTTCCAAAAGCCTGAAATACTACAGATACACACATAAATTACACAGGATGAGCCAAAGAGACCGAAAGAAACCTACTGTATATACAATTACTTAACTTGCAATATTTTCTTGCTGTTGCATTCAAGTCAACAAACTGTCATGCAGATTCAAGTATTTACTGGCATTCTCCCTATGAAGACATTCTCTCTGCATGCACTGTCTTAAACAGAAGGCTGCCCCCTTGGGGTTTGGATACTTCAGGTGCAAAATGACAACGGCAATGACTTTGGACTTCGGTCCTCCTTGTGAGAGAGACATTGAGAAGGAATCTGAGAGGAGAAGCACTTGCTGGGTGAAGTCTGTGGTAAACTGATGATCTCTAACGTCCTCTGGATGTCTTAATGGTGGAAGATGGCAAGAGGCTGGGGGACAGGTCTGGCGACCTGGGGCCAACTGGCGGCCAAGCCTGGGACGAGAGGCAGCCAGAGAGCTTTGGAGCAAGGCTGGCCCAGAGGCTCATCTGCCTACAAAGGTGACTGATCTTTTTCTGTCAGAGTAAGTCAGATGCTCTGTGAGAAAAGCAGGTGCTATTTAAACCCAAAGTCACACTATCACTTATAACTAGACTCTACTTTTAACAAGTCCTAGGATGCCACTTTGGTTCTTTAACAGTGCTAATTTTACAACTGGAAACAAATCCTGTCATTTGAGAAGTGAAGGGATTATTCACTGCTGAAATTAAGGAAGGGGGCTCCCAGCCTGCTGAAAACCTGACGGGATCCGCAAGAGCTCAACGACAGAGATGTGCACCAAGAAGGCCACTGAACTCCCTGTGCACTCAGGTTTCGCAAAGCTTAACTAATGACTACAAGGGAAAATGCCGAAGGAATTCAACTTGCAAGACAACTCCTTAAACCCAAGAACGTCTTGGCAGTATGACAATGGAGAAACTTCTTTAAGGTCAATTTTCTTCCAGTCGTCTCCAATTAGGGATAAAGACAGAGAGGAGGTGAGGCTCCTGTCTCGGGCCCTGTCTCATCTAGGAACGTCTTCCAGGCTCCTTCCATGGCAGAGGGAGCCACAGGCAAGGGCCAGTGGAAGACTCTGTACCTCTGTGCTCAGGTGGCAAAGGGCCTTCTTCCCTGCTGGTTCTCTAGGTTCTTCTCCAGTCTCAGAAGCTCTGTGGTCTGGCCACAGGGTGAAATACAAACTCCAGAGGCCAGCCGTAGCTTGGCCTCAGAAAGCCAGCCAGCTTTCCTTTTCTAGGATGAATTCCCTCCAAGCACTTTAACTGGGGATCAGCCTCTGTCTTCTGAGTTAAGGTAACAGTTGGAGAAGCACATAGGGTCTCGTACAGCCGCTTCCTATCCAGGAACTACAGTGTCACCAGATGACTCTCCCACACGCTGGTGTTACTGAGATTAATTAAAATGCACAGAAGTATTGCTTGGCTTAATTAGGCATTGCTAGGAGTTAATAATATGATGTTTTTTAAAAAGCGCACTTCAATGAATAATTATGGCCTGGCAATAAAATAAGGACTCTGCATGCTAGCAATTGAGTTTTGATTGCTAACTACGAACCCCTGACACCTCCCTGTCAAAGTCAACACATGAGCTGGGGGAAAGATTCACTACATGGGCCACCTCTACAGTTAACTGTGGAACAAGACTATCATCCAAGTGTTTTGATGACTGTCAAGATTTTCTAGGCTGAAAATTAACATCAAGTGTATGTGTGTGAAGAAGGATAATGCTTTATCATACGGAGAGAAATCCCAAGGCTCCCAACGCTGAGGAGTGGGTGAGGCATGGGCTGGGGGGTGGGGGGTGGAGTACCTACAGAAGGAAAGGAGGAGGAGAGCTCAGCTGTAGGCTCGGATTAGCTGGGGAAGGAATGTTTTCAGTGTCTTCTGACTTGATACCATAGGTAAGAAATTACCGCAAAAGAAAATGTGGATGGCTGTGGGCGAGAGTTTTAAAATCAAGTCAAATTGGGGGCCATTTCTACCTCCAGGATAAACTTCTGACCCGCTAGCTGTGGCAACAGCAGACAGTAACCCCAGAGGCGCTGGGAGGAGGCGTTCACAGCCTGTCCCCTAAAGGCGGACAGCGTCATGCCAGGGCCATCTGCCATCCTGGCTCTCCAAATACCCTTGCGGTTGTTTTTAAAGATAAACTGTGCAAACACACTATACTGCAGCTTCGAAAGTGCCCTTCTCATCCAATATTCTATTAGCAACCCAGAGTTCCTGAAGATAACATTAGTGAGTCATATAACAGGGACAGTGCTGTCGTGCTGATGCTAACCAAGTGTTTCAGAACTACGGAACTCTAAATGTCAGACACGGTAGCAAGGTACCATTCTACGTTTATGAAATACTCTAAGTAAAACACACAGAGACGTCCTATGTACACAGACACATTCACACCGTGGGCCAACACATTCAAGCCAGTCGGGGATGCTTATTTTTCTTTAGTGACTGAAGCTGAGCAATGACAGGATCTGGGTACCTCTCTCTCCCCGGCTTAGGATAAATATCAAGGCAGAAAACAAACAGGCTGACTACTCAGGTCCCAGGAAGAAAGACGATTCCCTTGTGGAAATCGTGAATTCAGTCAGAAGCTACAAAGTGAATCAGGTCCATGTGCCATAGTGGTTAACTATCCTGTCTGAGACATAAATGCAGTCATTGTCTTTACCTAAACAAGACAGAGGGTTACAGTGAGTTTTTCAAAGGTGTGGCAAAGTCCTTATCTGAGAGCAAGCAGCCATAACCTTGGAGAGGGGTTTCCTCTGTCTGGGCACCAGCAAAATATGAACATTTATAGAGGTGAAGGAAGTAAAGGTGAATAAATAATCCAGTAATTAAATGCTGGCACAGCAGAACAAGGTGCTGCTGGAGACTCCCATAGTTTACCAGAGGGCTTTCTCTGATTCACTGGAACCACGCAATTCACGACAAGTCCCCGATTCTTTGGTCATAGTACCTTTAACTAATAAACTGAGTAGAACTAGAGCAAATTTCTGTGGGAGGAAAAAAGAGTATTCAAAGCGATGCCATTAGTTCTGAAGTTGTGGAGACAACAGCTTTAAGGATCACAAAGTTGCAAGGTTTCATGATCAGAAGGTTCGAACTCATAATGGGCTCAGTTTTCACTCCTATCTCTTCCTGTGCAAGACAGGGTTCTTTTTATCGCCCTGAATTTCAAAGGGACTGTCACCGAAACAAGCTCATGACTTTAAGGTCAATAGAACTATTTTGAGTAGACAGAAAGAAATGATTTAAAATAAAGTGTTTATTTTTAGGAGGAAGTTCAGTAGGAGCAGAGAGAAGTGGCTAGCAAAGAGACTAAGAATAAACTAAGTAACTCTGTAAATGCAACCAGCAAATTCTTCAGTTTTCCAACCCTCCTTCATTCAGACTATTTATTACTTTCAGATTGATTTTAAAGCATCAGTATTCCGTTGCTGGAAAACTGCAACTTCGTTTTCCTCTCTTAACTTTGTTTTGCTTAAGACCGCAGGATTCTAACAACCATGCCTCTACGTGTGTAACTCTCTGGATGGCAGGGTGTTGACAATGGAGATGATCTGGATTCCTAGTCCAGACCCTGCGGGAGTGAGGTAACAACTTCTGCAGACTGCACACATGCCTGCTGCTGCAGCTCCCGAGAGTCCCAGTTCTTCAGAAAACAAAATGAACTTGGTGTCCTCCTCCCTCAACTTTCAATGGCAAAAAGGTTCTGCTTGTCTTCCCCCGCGTGGTGAAGTGGACTCCACCCCTGAAGCAGCTGGCGTGCCCCCTGCGGTCTCCAGTCCTGCGGTCTCCAGTCCTGCGGTCCTTGCACCCCACCTCCCTGCTCCCAGTAGGGCCAGGACTCAACAGCAGCTGCTACTGAGACGTGCGCACAGCTGCACGGCCGCTGTGGAGCATCCTGAGTCCCAGGACTGCGATTCGGAACTGCCCTTCTGTGAGTGCTCAATTCCACCTCTGTGACCGGGCAAGATCTCACATAGAAAGGTTTATATTAACTCTGGCTAGAATTTACGAAGCTACAAAGTTTCGTCCAGTTAAGTTTTTCACAATGGATTAAATTTTTTAACCTTAAAAAAAAAAATGTAACAGTTGGTTTGAGAATACATAACAACTGAGCAGAGTGCAAACAAGAGAAAACCAAAGGAGAAGGATGCATAACTCACTCTGAAATCATGATCCCTTCCCCCTCCCAAAGGTGCATTAGTTATCAAGTAGCAAAAACCATCAAAGCAAAGAAATCAAGAGCAAAGAGACAATCTGTACAGAAACTAACAAAAAATATACAATAGAAAAGGTTACTAATGCACCATTTAGTCACAGACTTTTTTTTTTTTTAAATATTCACGGATTTACCAGAAAGATCTTGAAAAACTCTATTTTGCTCCATGACCAGCACTTTCCTGGTCGCAGATGGATTCTAAGTAACTTTTTGCTTAATGCTGGGTGTTTCAGGTCGGTGATCTTTCCTCTCTGACACGTTGCGCTTGACTTTGGCAGTGACCGGAGATGAATCTGGGTTCAGCGAGGGACTCGAATGCGACTTCTTCAGTCCCGCGGCCTCACTTTCGTTGTTGCTCAGGAGCTTCTTGCCTCCTTCTTTTAGAATGCTGACGTAAGTTTCATAACGGGTTTGCTGGAGGGGAAGTCAGAGAAGAATGGTAGTCAATACACTGCTCACAAACGTGTATGTGCAACACACACCTAGTGTGCTAACTACCTGGAGCGTGTGACTGGCTGACTCCATTCCCCAAAGTGGGAAACAGCTCCAGGAGACTGATGGAGTCATTCATTTAGATAAGAAATGAAGACAGAATTTCAGTCCTCATTTGTTCTGCATTCTGAAGGAATGTCAGCTTGGAATTATTGGCTATTAGATGGAGGAATCTTCCTGAAAACTCAGGGACAAGAAGGGTGTGGTTTGGAGGAGATGTAACCTCTGGTTTTTGGTGATTCGATGGCTCTTAGTGGCTCCAAGTTGCCTGTACGCACTTGAGCGTCACTCACGTGACGTAGGTGGCACTTGAACCTGGCTTGGACAAGGCTGTTTTCTCTCTCTTACTCCCTGCAGCTCTACAAAGGAGGAATCGGTCTGTGGTGATTTGACTCTACATGACCACAACACTTTCTAGAAGCTGCTCTGGGTTTCCTGCCAACCTTCAAATTACTTTCTGATGCTTTTCTCATTCTACAATTTTTTTCATCAATTATTTTTTGAGTATCCATTATATTTTAAACAGTTCCTGATTCTCTTGTCTCTGGGCATCTTTGTGTAAGAATAATTGAGAAGAACATAGCAGAGATTGTTTTTTCTCTAACCCTAAATTGGTGTGTGTGTGTGTGTGTGTGTTTTAAAGTTTCTGAGTCACTATTTAGAACTATTATGCATATTGCAAATTACAGAAGGGTCTCAGATTCTTGATTTGATAGATCCTAGTCAAAATAAGTCTCTCACCATATTGCTTCAACACATTAAGCACTTACCGAAGGCCCAAAGTGTTTTATATCTAAACAAAAGAGCATGCCAGTTATAAACTGTCCCAACAAAGGCAAGCAAATACTGTTATGACTATAAATCTTTTAGGAATTTTTCTAGTCGGATTGAGACTTTGTATATCTCAGTTTTAAGTTAGTAATTATGAAGATGAAGCTATTGGAAGCTACTCCTTCAAGTTATTTCATTCAAGATGAAAAGAAGCTTCCAGTCTTTAAGCTTGTTCTGGGGCTGGTCTATGTGGGGACACGAAGCTTTGGCGGGTGATGGAGGTAACATTTACAGAACGGCCCACATACTAAGGCCATTCATACAAGAATCACATACAATTAGTGCATTATTATCCTTCTTTTACAGGAAAGGAAATAGAGGCAGAGAGAAGTCCAGAGTTAGAGTTAGCAAACAAGTGAAGCTAGGATTTAAAATCAAGAAATCTGACTCCAAAATCTATGTTCTTAAGCTATATTTTCTCCCTGGCAATGAAAATACACACATGAATGTATGTGTTAGGATGACTACTCTGACAGACACTGTTGGTTTGGCCAATCAAAAGCCATTCTAAGCCCCCCTCTTCTCCTATGTCCCTCCTACTACAAAGGCTGCTAAATCCCAAATACTTACTTTCCCAGCCCCTCTGTAGCTAGGATGGGCCATGTGATATTGTAGCCAATCAGATGTAAGAAGAAGTCCATTGAAAGGCTTCAGGGAAAGCGATTGTGCTTCCTGGTAAAAGGGATAGGCTTCCAAGGAGAAGCCTGGTGCTAACTCTTCACCCTTATTCCTTTCTTGACGTGGAGGTGACTCCCAAAGCTGCACCCTGTGCCATGGGACAGGGGGCATGAAGACAAAAGAACAACACGCGAGGCCTGAAGAAAATGGAAAGACGGAGGAGGCTGGGTTCTTGATGCCACAGTAATACCTCCGAATGTGTACTTTGTTAAGTATGAACAATAAATAATCCTTGGGGGTAAGCCCCTGTTCATCAGGCACTGTTAACTGCAGCTGAAAGCATCACTAACCGACACATGTTCTACTTTTCATAAAGAAGTAATGAAGTAATAGAATAAAATACCAAGTTTATCTCAGAAAGCTACATAAGAGTTTATAAGGGCATTTGCTAATTAAAAAAATCAGTCCCCCGTGGTACCCATCGCTCTATGCGTCAGTGAAATCAGGGGAGTGAACTAGACAGCATTCAAAGGGTACACTGCAATAGTTCTAAAGTCCTATTCATTCTAGAAATTTATTATTTCTCTGTAAACTGGCTGTGTGACAGGATTAAATTGCAGGAAATAATTATTCCCAATATGAGCAAGATGTAGTAAAATGATTTGGAAGACCAGTGAAGGCACACTGTTTCAGGAAGCTGGGGTATTTATACAATGAAAGGGGAATGAAGGACAACTTTTTGAGATGATCTTGAAAGGAGACAAAAGCAGAGAAGGTGACAGGGCCAGTTTTCTACTAACTAGTCTGTGAAGAAACCGATATTACTGGGAAAATTCACCTGAAAACACACGAAGAAAAACCATTTCACCTACTCATTCTGCAGCTCCAACTGTGACGCTGTTGACTCAAACAAATTACATCGATTGTCAATCAACAAACAAAAGGCATAGCACAGAGGTATGGCAGGACTTGAGTCATCAGACAGAAGCAAAGCAAAGCAAATGGTCTAAGGGGCCTGAAAAATGAGGGGTGCCCAGTCACTGTGAAGAGAAATAAGAAAAAGGAAATTCAAGTGGGTTCATGAACTTCCAAATGGCTGTGCTCTATTTCTGAGTTACAAAGGCTATAGGCATAGGGGCCATGAAACCCAGTCCACAGTTTTGCTTTTCTTATTCTCTGAAAACAAACCAAATACCTCTTCAAAATATTTGAGCTAATCATACTTTAATCTGAGAACGGTTCAATGGGCATTGGTTTCAACTATGTCCTTCCTGGATTACAGACTCATCTAAATACGGAAATCCTCTATCCAGAGACTTTGACTCTGAGTAAAGGAACAGCTTTGCATGCAGCCCTGAACAGCAATGGGAATGAACATAATTTCAGAAGTTGCTTCTTTGTTGCTATCTCCTTTATTTTTGTGGGTGGGAAAGACATAGCTCTTCTGGGAGCATTTATTTCTTTTCTTCCTTTCAGAGAAGACATGATTCTTACCTTTTTTTTTTTTTAAAGACCAACTGTGAAATTTAAGTTTTAAGTTAAAGCTGGTGTGTAAAAAAAAGTAAAGCAGCAGCAGGCAGTGTATTTGTAAACCATGTTTAAAGTATCTACTATACCAGTTCAGAGACTAGAAACTTGTTAATCCTGTTTGGATTAACTTGTTAATGGTCAACCTCGGCCCAGGAGTCGGTGTATGATGTCATGGCAGTCGCTGTGGCTTCCCCACAGCCTGGCACTAATAATGAAACTGTGATTTTTATTGAGGATGTCAATGTGCCCCACCCCAGGAAAGGAGTCATGGTGTAAACCGCACACGATAACCCTTTTCCTCCTCTGCCGGTCAGCCTTGTAGCATGTGGCCTAGATTTGGCCAATGACATGTAAGAAGTCGACCAGGGTCCTTCTGTGAAAGCAGCTTTTGTGACCCTGGTTAAAAGTGGAAGAACACAAGGCGTGGAACTAAGGCAGCCATTATAAGACGATAAGCTGGTCAGCATGAAAGCAAAAGAGCCAACGTGCTGAGGAGAGCAAACCGGAAATTGAGAAAGATGATACAGCCTTGATGGCAACACTTAAGATCCCTACGTGAAATAGAGAATGTGTATGCTGTTTAAACACTTGGTCACGTTTTCTGTTATTTGCAGCCAAAAGCATTCTTAACCAATCAAATGGTCAACACTCAGTTTAGTCTCATGCATAAAAAAAAATCACAATTGAGTTGTACCTTCTACCTTCATTTTATTTAGGAAAATACACTTAATATGCTTGATTAATAGGCTTTGGTGTGGTGTACCTTTGTTGGGTTTCCTCTGAATATTTAACAAATTATTGATGAGCATTATCCACTCTAGGCTGTACTCTGGCTACATAATAAATATTAAATCAGTGGGTATATTATTATCTCCATTAATAGTTTTATATCGATTGCTGTATCTCTATGGATGACAGAGTACAAGGCTCTCTGTGCTTCCCTATAAGCCTACAGCGCGTGGGGCACCTAAGAGATTCTAAGAGTTAACCAAAACATTGCGAGTTCTATACCAGTGTTTGGAGCTAGCTAATGATCAGTATTCTAGTATGAGAGGACAGGCTAGAGATACTTCTAAGGCCCCGAGGACAAAAATTTTAACAATAAAAACTCTGCTCCTTGATTCTTCTCTTTCTCTAATATCCCACAGCCATCCTGTCAGCCACTCCTGTCCCTCCGTTTTCAGAGTATTCTCAGAATCGCACCATTTCTCACCGCCTCCACCACTTCCACTCTGGATGAGCACCATCATCGTGAGCCTGGGGCCCTGCAGCAGCCGCCCCCCAGCTCCCCCTGCTGCCCTCCGTGCCCCCCACGTGCACTCTATCAAAATGTAAGTCAGAGCGGGCCGTCTCGGCTCCAGTTGCTCCAATGGCTTCTCGCCCCTACAGATCCTTCCCAACACCGCAGCCTTAAAACAGCCGAGAAAGCCCTCCGCTGGGCCAGCTCTCTTCTGCTTCTCAGGTCTAATCTCTTAGCGCTCTCCAATGCGCACTGCATGCCAGCATGTCTGTCCCTGGCTGTCCCTGCACACGGAATGCGCTCTTGCTCCTAGGACCTGGGGTGCTGCTGTTCTCTCTGACCCACAAGCCGACTTCCGACTTCCCTGGGGAATCCAGGGGCTTAGTCCCTCCCCTCCTGTGCCTCTTTTAGTCTTGACTCAAATGTCACCTGTACACGGAGGCCCTCCCCGGTCATCTACATCTAAAATCGTAACGCCTATTCGCATTGCCGTTCACTGCTTTATTTTTCTGCTTCGCACTTCTTACCATCAGCCTTGTATTTATTAAAAAAAAATCTTGTTTATCTTCCCCTGCCACTACTAGAATGCAATTGCATGAGGGTAGGGACTTTGATTTTGTTTCCTAATAAATCCCCAGCATGAAAGAAACACAGTACACACTAAATAAGCATTTGCTGAAAGTATGACTGGAAAGAAAAAGCA